GGTCTCCTATCACCGTTACACAAAGCTTTCGTTTACATTTTCACCATCCTCAACTCTTCTCAGGTTAGTGTTCAATCCTCTCATTTCATATTTAGAGTCATCCGAGTGTCTTTATTACTTCATGTTCAAACATTGTCGCCATGGTCAGATAACATTAGCCAAAGAATTATATGAAAAAATATACCTCAGAGGATAAAGCAAAAAGGAAAAAAAAAAAGTCAATGAACGGGAAACATTATATCTTTTTTGTCTTTCATTCTCATAACTTTAGTTATTTACATATTATTACCTTCAATGCCCTTAAGGCTTGAACGGTTTTATACAACGGGTTTTTTTTTTTTTTGGAACAGATATTTAGTGTCCTTTTTGCTATTTTTAATACATTTAATCTATTTGACGTAATTATCAATGTTTGAGACTTGTAAATAATCGTATAATTCAACTTTTGGTTGCAAATCGGTTATTAATAAACTACTATCTATCTATCTATCTATCTATCTAAGATATTTGAGAAAAAAAGTTTAATTTAGTAAAGTTCAATTTCATATTATGATCTTGAAAACGATCCTCCTTTTTTTGCACGCTAAAGCATAAACCAATTGTTAATTAAAGTTTGAATGAACATTTAAGTGCTTTTTTTTCTGATAACTTTCCTCGTATATTCGCAGATTAGAGAGCGGTTCAAAAGAAAAGTGAGCACCGTTTTTCCATTTACAAAAATCGGAAACTCCACAAGGAAGAGCTCACAGGTTAATCTGAGTGATATCGGCGGTGTAAAGGCGGTTAAACTGCAGTCTTAAAATGAATCGCATCATTGAATACAATCTCGCCTTCTGATTGGTTAAGGAAGCGAGGTATTTAGCGTGGAATTGCGAGTTGAAAACAAGGCTAAGTGACATTGTTTCGCATCTACGTAAGCGTAACAACTATCGTCAAATTGTCACAAAGTTTTGTTACTAAGTCAGTTTAAAACGTTTTCAAAACCATTGTCACCTTTTAAAGAGCCAAAAACAAAAAAAGCGTTTTTCAAAGTGAGCCTGAGTTTCTTCCTTGTTTTGAACTGAACTTTAAATTCTTGGAGGGGCATGAAAAGCCTCTTTCGCTCGCGACAAAGCGAAAGCGAGAAAATCTTGTGAACTTGGCCCAGAAAAAACAATCTCCGAGCTAACAGGTGACGTCAACCCGGGCTGAATATCCACCCACAGCCATATTCTTTTAGGAAAACAACGAAAGGTTGTCAAGCAAGTTGGCAGGGTTTTCAATCGCACCACTATGACTGTCACAGCTGTCAACGCCAGCAGCGGTCTACGGACTGAAACTTTGCGAGGAATTGGTGTCAACAGCCTTGCACTTCCATCAGTAGTTGACAATAATGCAAAAAGGTGAATAACGGCAGTGATGGTCTAACAGCGAGAGTTCTAGGTGGGCTGTTCGCCAATGTATCGTTCAACACCTCTCAAGTGAAGATTTCCATAAACTTTCAGTCGAATGTTTATATCAACGATAACTGCTAATGGCAGTTGTCTGTAGTAAATTTCTACAAATAAAAAGATCAAAGTTTTTGGACTTTTCATGAAACACTTTGTTTCTAAAGGAATAAAATATCAATCAATACACGTTTACCCTATACCCTCAATCAGACAATAAACAACAACTTTTCACTGGGAAATAGGATACTGGCTGCTGCACAAGATTAGAATCTCCACACGGATAGAGCCCGGCTTCCGGCGAGCAACAGATCCAATTTATTAAATGTAAAGGCAATCATGATACATGAAAAACTAGCGTGCCTCGTGCCTGCTACCCGTCAGGAAAAACCCCCTTTATTTTGGAGGAAACCTGATCCCTCCCGAATGTAGAGCCAGGCACTTAACAACAACCTTGAGGGAGAAAGGTTATCAAATGACAAGAACGTGAAAACAGAATGAAAAGTGCACTAGCAAATAAAATAGAATTAAAGAAGAACCCGCAGGTTGCAGCAATGCCAGTGTAGAATGATTTCCCTCAGGAAATTCCCGCCAGGACGTGCTCTCATCTCTGATGTTGCCATAGCGACTGTCAAAACTTCGGTGAACAGTGAAAACATGAATTTGCTGCTATTCTTCGAACCGCAGCAAATAGTAAGTATTTGCACTTCAAGGTACTTACCTTACATCAGTCGCGATTTTAAACTTACAATGATTTCGCTTGCATACTTCATTTCAGTGGTAAGCGAGCTTTTCAAAGTCATCAGCCTTTAGTGCTGTTTAAGCTCTTGGCAAGATGCAATGTCAGTAAACCTTGTAACAGGTAGTGTTGGACTTCTTTGCATATATTTAGTACTTGACTTGATTTTGACACGCATTCTAATCTTTTCCATTCTCAATTTGTTTTTCTCGCGCAACATCTATTTTTGCTCGTATAACAAGATGAAGTCATTTCGATCGTACGTGTTGAGAAACCTAAACAAAACAGAAAACTACCGGTCGAACAGCAAACAGCATATCATCTTGCTGTTATCATAGCAAGAAATTGTTAATAATGAATAAATTAATCAATACTTGGTGTAGATAAATAGTTTGCCAAATAACTAAAAACAAAGGAATGAAATGGATTTTTACCCTTCAGCCACGTTTTTTTCAAACTTAATTTTTTCTCATCCTGTGGTACGTAGCACTCTTCATCGTCGCAAATGTTTCGATGGCTTTGAATTCAAATTAGCGCACTACTTAAATGCAATGGAACCGATCATGCAAAACGCGTTCAAAAAAGGAAAGCGTTTAGTTTACTATAAGTATATAAAAGAACACAACTTTAAGCTGAGACAGCTGCAAATTTCCATCAGTATGGCTTAAAAAATCATTAAAAGGGAGTGCAATTTCTTGGGGTTTTAGAGCAGAAATAGGAGAGACGAGGTTTACCTGCCAACCGTCACCCCCTGCCCCAACCCTCACCCCTCCCCCCTTATATACGGTAGGTTAATTTAAAAAGAGTATGTGAGTTAAGCTTTCAGTGTAAGACGAACAATTTGCTGTAAGTTGGATATATCAACAAAGTTGAAATGGTAAATTGGCCACCGTAATGATTACAAAAGCTGACGTTTCGAGCGTTAGCCCTTCGTCGGAGCGAATAGAGGAATTGTGGGTTGTGTGTGCTTTTAAAGGCAGAAAATGGAGCTACGTTATTGGTGGGTGCATGGCAACGAGAAAAACATGAATAAATTAGTGGAATGAAAAGCGTTCATTGATCCCTGTGGGATTTAGACTGCCGGTTTGAAAGATGAGCTTTTGTTCAAGATTTTTACGGCTTTCCGTGCCACCTAAGTGCAAGGAAAGACCGCAGATTGCCATATGTTGCTTAGAATGATTGGGTAAATTAAAATGTCTAGCGACTGGTTTCGATGTGTCCTTGTCATTCCTTTCCACGTCTCGAAGGTGTTCTCGGAATCGGTCACCTAGTCTTCTGCCTGTTTCGCCGATGTATATCTTTTTGCAATAAGTGCAAGTTATGCAATAGATTACATTAGCGGAGGTGCACGTGAAGTGGTCGGTGATCTTAATGGATCGTTTAGGTCCCAAACAGCCCCAAGCAGTTTCTTTCGAAACTATCAGCCTTGACATACTGCAAAACAACTCTCTTCGAATTGAAACGTCACAACTTCACGTTTGCCGTTCGCAGTAATCGAGGAAAAATCTCAATGTTATGAATTTAACCGCCTTGACTTATATGCAGTTGTTATCATAGAAATCCAAGGACCAGGAATTTTTGCCGCTAGAAACTCTTTAGGAGTCATTGATGTTGACATGTTATGATCGACTATTTGCACTTCGGCGGGCTAAAGAGTTCAGTTCGAAAACACGTTTTTGTTAGTAACCAGTGTGCGTTTCAACATTGTACTAAAATTTTTCAAGTATACAATAGTTAAAATAGCAATGCGTAGTTTGCGATAAAAAAAGAAAAAAACATTGAAAAAACTACCTGTATCCTTAATACAAAACGGTAATTTATTATGATCACGCGCGAACAAAAAATATATCGGTATTCCGAAGGTTTTATAAAGGAAATCGCATTCATCCATTCTTTACTTGTGTACAACGATAGGAACATCGGTAGAGCTTTCTGAATTCATAATGGAAATCTTTGTTTCACAAAATTGTTTAAACTGCTTCGTCATTACTTGAAGTTAATTTTTCGTTCCTTTTTTTTCCAGAATCTATTTTCCTGAAAAATTTGAGAAACCCTAAGGGTAGTCTGAAACAAGAGGTTGATCACGAAGCATTTTGTAGATGCTATTAGTCATCAAACCGTCAATATTGGAGGAAAAAGCTAATCAGGAAAGTATTGTGACATAAGATTTGCGTGCAACAAAATTAAACAAATTAATTATTGATGTCCAACATATTCTGCGTGAATCTGCTACACAAAGTATAGCATTGACTATTCCTCATTGGGAATGAGGAAACGGAAACGAAACGTTCATGTATTGAAAATAATATATAAATTATATGCGTCGTGTGGTGAATGGCATACATCGCTGTAACACCTAGTGGGTACCAATACTGATTAAAGAAAAACTTCTATAACAGACCTGTTTCAAGCTGAACTATAATTGTATCAAGGCGACACGTTCAACGCAACACTCTAAAGAGACGGCAAAGCTGATCGTCGTCGCCTTGCTAAATGATTCAGGGGTAGTCCTAGTAGTCAGTAATCAATATTGAAATTAAAATGAATACCTTCCGTCCGCGCTTAGTTAATATCCTTAGCCTAGAGCTATATACTTGCAAAAAATAATATTTTTAAGCCTTGTTATTGTTTATCTCAAGCTAGCCTATTGAAAGAGTTATGAGAATTGCAATGAAACAGTTTCTTGAACTGTTTATTCCATACCTGTTATATTTGTGGTGTAGTTCAAAACAGGTGTAAAATACCTATTGTGACTAAATTTGGAGGGAAAGTCCGACGTCAGTAATCTGAATGACAGTCAATTGCCCGCATAATATGCTAGCAATAAGCGACAGACTGTGGCACAAAACAACACGAAGAAAGACAGATCTTTAAAATAGTTCTGAATAGAGGACGCCCTCAACCTCATGATTATAACGCTAGGAAAGGGAATTTTGAGCTAATCTACAGCTAATACTAATTTCAAAAAGCTTGCCTTTGGTTGAGTATGATGCTGAAAAAACCTGACTCACACATCGATGAAAAAATGATCATGATTACTTGTAAAATGTCGGGAACACTCCTGTTATCAATAACTCTGTTGAGTAAGTATCAACGTTCTTCCTAAAATATTTGATTTCGAAAACTATGTCTTACAAGTATACTCCTAGAAGTAGAATTTATGGGTCTCAGAATAATCTTGAAAAAAAGAATTATTATTCGAAAACTGAGACCGGTAAAATTTAGAATGGTTTTAGATAAAGATTTTTGTTTCAGCCGACCTCGCCAGCTTCTTTAAGGAAGCCAGGAATAAAATGAAAAGTAGCATTTTAAGGGATTTATTTCAAGAAGCGAGTTAAGCAATGCATAACGATCTACAAGCTAAAAGCCCGAGTTAACTCGTGACAGCATGCAAATGACGATGGCGTAATTTTGGCCTGATTTTGAATTTAAAGATATGCAAATTCTAGAACAAGTTAATCGATGGATGATACCAAACTCTCCCAGCTCCTGCCTTTCGCAAATTACAAAACTTAGCAGCCTTGCTAAGAACAACATTTCAAGTCTTTTTTGAGAAGGGTCTGTCGGGTCCCTTTATTACTTTTTCACTTTTTATCTGAATCTAATATATTTGCGTTAGTATTGTTTTATTTTCCATGCTTTGAACTGAATTGAGGATAGAAGTCAAACCAACGCCGTTATACGAAAATATTCTCTTTACTCAGATTATGATAACGTTTCCTCAGTGCCCATGCTACCTTGCGTAGCACTGGCAACTTGGAGTCACTCTTTAATGATAGGAGGGCCACCTACAACGAGCGAAAAGTATTTCTGGGCATGGTGATAATGCATAATTTGTCATATTAAACCCATAAATATATTAACTAACTAATAGCTGCCTATCCTTAATAGCAAATTTAACCAAAACAAAACAAAGTAAAACATCAGTGTTAATGATACATTACCCTGCAGAAAAGTTTGTTCAGCAGTTGTATTAAGTCATTTAGTTACTCAGCTACGGTCTTCCCTCACCGTTCTACTTATCTTAATTATTAGTATATGAAAGCTACCATCTCTATCATTAATATTCGTGGTTTATTTTTCAGGCGTTGTTCTGGGTAATGATACCTGCGGCTCCAATGTATGCCAATGCATAAAGGTATGCAACATTGGTCGTTTTACTAATAATTTGAAATGCATTGCACAGAACTGTGGTGCAACGTTCAACACTGACACGTGTAAACTGGAATGCAGCGAGGAAATTTGTAAACAGAATTGCGAGGACAGTTTAGTATGCGACATGCACCTGAATTGCAACGGAAGTGATTCTGAACAAACTTGCAACGCTGAAACATGTAACCTGACATGCAGCGGGAGAATTTGTACACAGCACTGCAAATAACATTCAAACGTTTGTGAAATGTATTGTAACGCCAGGCAGTGTGCACAGACGTGTGACGCTACCACATGTCACATGACTAAAGCTAAAGCTGGGCCAATAAGTTCTCCGAGTGAGCTAAAATGCTCCGGTAACGGTCAATGCTGTAAACGTTTCATGTCTTCGGAAATCTTTCATACCGAATGTGGCAAAGGTAAAAGCTGCACGTGCACCAAATGTTCAAGACGCCAATGCAGCACTTCAGATTTATACCCTCCAGACGTCATTTCTTCTACCGCGGCTACAGCAATTCAAGTTTTCGCAACTCAAAGTTCAACAGAGCAGAGAACAGAAAATTCGCAGGCTTACCGTGAGTACTATTAAAAAAAAGTGAATTCTGAAACGTTCTTTTTTTTGTTTTTTTGTTTTACGATCGAATACTTGATATAATGTGTATAAATTACAATATCCTCCATGAATTATATCTTCCCAATACCTCACTTCTCGATTTCCCCGCGCCTGATCGTAGATTTGCAAGCTTTGTTTGCTTTAACAATGAAATTTTATATCAACGTTTAGCTCCTTTACAATCAACAACACCCTCACTTCTCTCGCCAGTACTATTAATATCATCATTGTTGCCTTCACCGACATCATCGTCTTCATCTTCGTCATCCTCATCATTATCGGCAGCAGCAACGCAATCGCCATATACACCGTCACCATCGTCGTCTTTTTCATCGCCATCGATCACTAAGACATCTTGGTCATTGATATTAGAAGTAATTCAGAATCTGGTATGTACTGTAATTTTCTTTACCCTTGTAGCTATAACCCTCATGCTCTACGGCGTTTATCGATTCAGGTCTCGATAGGATTCTAGCGTGTGTCTCCCAGATACTAGTTGGGCGCTACTATCAAATAGATTACGAAGCCAGACGTTTCGAGGCGAGGCAAATTTCACAGTGTTCCTCACTGACGTGGAGGAATCTCATTATAGATTGTTACTGTCTTTCTTGGCCACAGGCAAATGATTCTGTCTCGAGACTGAATGGAATAGATATCAGGAGAAACAGTTCTTTGAAGGTATGAGCATACTAATTACCTCTCTATCATAACAATGATTAAGATAATTAGTTGATATGACATGCACAATATTTAAGAGATTGCTAAAGCAGTTAGAAAGCTTTATAAGTGTTCAGATAAGGGGTAAAACCTAAAGAATGAAACTCACTAGATATAGATACCTATAGTGGGGAGAAAAGTCGAGTACAATCTGTTATCATTTTTGGAATCGAGTTTTTTAGTATCGGTTGAAATTTGCTCTTACCTCGCTTACAGCGTTTTGTCAGTCCAAATTGGAAGTAATCCTCATTAAAAGTATTTCTGCCTTTGAGAATTCTTATGATGCGTAATCTCTCTCTCCTTATACTCAAATTATTGGATGGTAAAGAACTAAAATTCAGATAAATAGTGAACGATGCACGGGCGTGTATAGATATGCTATCTCCTCGAGTTAAAAACGAATAGAGCAATTTCATATCTTCAAATCTTCGAGCAAATTTAGTTAGACAAAAAAGACCAACAGTTCCTAAATTTGTTAATCATTGAAACACCATGAATCTTCTAAGTTTTCTATTTCTTCTCTGAGCCGCAAGAAGTTCCCTAACCAAGGCCAAGTCATTTTTGGTTTTCCTTTTCGCGTTTTGGTTTTCTTCCGCTTCTAGAAAATATTTATGGTCACTGTTGGTAACCATTATGAATCTTGCAAGATGTTTAGCAGCCATGATCCTTGAAAAACTCGATAAAGTACTTTGGATTGAGAATGTTGATCACTTTTCCATCCATTCATGAACCCTACAGAGTGGCGTGAAAAGCGAGTGAAGTATCAGAAGCTGATTGGCGATGTAAGATATACCCACAAACCTATGCAATACCTTTAAACTCCTTACAATTACGACATTTCTCAGGGCTGGCAATCCCTTATCCAAACCTGCATTTTAAATAATTAGGCATGTTCAATTCTTTGTTATTATAGGAGGCTATGCGTGTATTTGAAGTCTTCACTGATCGTTTTCTGAACGTCACAAAACCCCATAGAAGTCAACTAATTAGCAGAGAAGATGAAAATAGACGAGAATCCATTTTTGAAGTGGCAATCGCCTTCGAGGAGTTTGCTCTAAATTATGGTAAACACCATTTGAGCGGAACGAAGTCATCCGCGAAGATCACAAGTCAAAAAATGGGTGGGTTGAAAGCACTTACTCTCTTTCAATTAATTTCTTTGATAATTTTATAACTTTTCAATGGCTATTTGACAAATTGACCAACTGAATGGTCAGTCTGCTGTCTGGCCTAAGAAATATATGATACAAGTGACTTTTTGAAAGGCTTATGGAAGTAGTATTGAGAGCATTTTTAAACTCGTCGGTCCCATGTTTCTGGGGTTGATGCAAGCAGTTGATGCAAGCAGTTGATGCAAGCAGTTGATGCAAGCAGTTGATGCAAGCAGTTGATGCAAGCAGTTGATGCAAGCAGTTGCAAGAAGAAGGTTAAAAATCTAATTGAAGGAAAATTATATTCTGTAAGTTAACACGTTTGTTAAAGTCCCCGCTGTTTGGATATTCCATGCCCTTAATATTTTAGATACTTTTATGATCACAATACAATAGTTTGATTTAATTGCGTCAAATTAATTAGAATCACGTTTAAGGAATCGTACTGTAGAACTGCCAATGTGCCTACAAAAAAATAACTATAATTGATTATAATGATGATAATAGTAAAACTGATAATAATGATAATGATAATTATAATGTTGATAAAATCTAGATACGCTACTGTAGTTTCACAATTTCAATCACCAGCTAACAGCTGATATTCTAACTTCTTCCGTCAGTTATGGGTATTCAAAGAGGCTATCGCCAAAATGCTACTGACTTCTTTCTCAAGGAAGAAGGATGGCAAGCCAGCATTAATATTTCCTCGCAAGAATTTTCTGAAAATGGTTTGTGTTAAACCCGTAATGAACTCTAAATCATAAAAATAGCATTTTTTTCTTGAATTTTGCTAGTCTTCTTTTAATGTGTTAAATACGTTGTAAGATTTAGTCCATCAATAGCAAAATTGAACGGGTTACTCTTCTGCGTTATAGAATTGAAATTCTTATCAGCGTGCCATCCATCACACATTTGAAATTATGAATAGCTTAGAAACTAGGAGTGCCCTGATTGGTCAAATACCCATCGTTTATTGCCAGTGAACCTATAGAAAAAAGTTAAGTTTATTTTATAAAAACGAAAGACCTCTCTTCATTGGATGCATGTTGGAGGAACATTTGAAAAGTTTGTAAATTACTCGCGTCCGGCTAATGATTTCGAATACGTATTTTAAAACTGAGTTAGCACCAATGGGACTACAAGGACATTTTTGCACTGGCTAATTGTTATTCACTTTAGGGTCAGTGGTTGTTGGGTGCATGTACAAAGATCTCCATGAGTTACTGGTGAGAAATAAATCCATCGGGGGTGAAACAGGCAATTCAAGGTGACTATCAACGGATAATCATTTGAGACCTCATTATATTGAAAAGGAAAATCTCATAAACATTTACTTTCCACGCAAATTTACATACGCTTACTACAAAACTAGTTTTGTCTACAGACCTCTTCAGTTGTATGCGATGTATCGTTAAAAAATTCAAATCTCAGATGACTTCATAAAACATTGCACGAGGAATAACCTGGTATCTAGTTATATAACAATGACGCTAAAGTAAAACTGCTAAAACAATAACAGTCAAAAATAACAACAGACTAGAATTCGGTTTCACGGTGCGATATTCATACTGATGATAAAATGTTTGTAGCCTCATTTCACGATTGTGTGACAACAGCCCTAGGGATCCGGAAATAACTCCACTCGCTTTTCGTGTCTATCAGTTGATCTTGGTGAACTTTACTTATTTGGATTGATTGCGAGATCTGTCTCAGCTTAGCGTCACCCTGAAACACTCCTGGGACGTTCATTGTGAAGCCTGGTACGTTACCGTCATGTTTCTCAAAGGAATGTCTCCATATCACCGAGCTTTGCTCCCTCTGTTCCAGAGCTTGCAGGTGTTCCTTCCCGCGGGTGTATGCACCTCGTGATGTTTCCCCGATGTATCTATTGCGGCAGATTTGACATACGCGCTCATAAGTGACACCGGTACTCCGGCAAGGCCCTTTTCCCCCGATACTGCAGACCAGACAGTTCATGTTGTTGCATTTATTTTCCCTGAACGGGTCTGACCTTTGCAACATCCGCTTGAGGGTCACACCTAATTGCTCGACTACTTTGATCTTGAAGCAAGCTCCCTTAATTTCCCTTCTGTATCGATTTTTAGCAGAGAGCCAGGGGTTGCTGGCACGAAGATCACTGTGTCAATCCCTCCCTTTCTGCACCACGACTCCCGCTTTCTTCGTCTCTCTCGATCCCGTTCTAGCGGTTTCCATTTTCTCGGTCTGTACAACTGACAACTGATTCATGCTTAACGCGTATGCAATGCGTGATAAGCTGTAGGGGTCAGCTACGCTTGGCGAAATAAACACAACAACTAGTATGCGTCTTTTTAATGTATTAAAAACTATTACAACGATTCACGTACATCTATCTAACGATTAAAAGTTAATTGTTTCCTCAAAACCGACAAAAAAACAACGAACGCTTGTGGGAAACTGCGCCATCGATACCTGTCGGCGGCACTTATGATTAGACGTAAGCTCAACGAATCGTACATAGGCTTTACCGTTGGAATTCAACTCATGAAAATAGGTGAAGCCTAAAAAACGGTACGGGTGCTATTTCTACTTTCATAAGTCTTTAACCTGACTATAATAAGTTAATTTGCCAAAAAGCGTCGGTGACTTAGCTCCGTTTTTAGCACACTTAGGACAGTTCTCGAACGGTTATAATTAGGTTGAAAATAACGAGAACTCAATTTTTATTCGCATTGTAGAATAATGAAAAATGTAATGGAAGGGAAACATTTCTCTGTTATGAAGTTTAATGTCACGCATAGGTTTGCAAAGTTTGATAGGATTCTGGGCTATACCCAACCTCGATGATTTTGAAAACAACATTTCTCCACAGGTACGTTAACACTAGAATGATAACGGCATCCATGGATCCCAAGCCTGAACAATTGCGACAAGATGCCATATTGAGATTCAGAAACCTGAAGGTACCAGCATGAACACCCAAAAGATAATTCGGTTCCACTGTGTTGTAATGGGTCAATTTGAAAGAAATGTATATAAAATCTATTTTCAGGTCGTTGATGAAGAAAAACATTGCATGTTTTGGAGTGGTTCCAAAAAGAGGTAGAAACATAAACACTGATAAAAATGCTTTGGAACTCTATTTTCTTTTTCAGACCATAATATTAAATGGGAAATTATTGGTGAAACGGGTATTTGCGACGAGGATAGTCCCGAAGTTCAAATTACAATGTCGGCAATGGTTCTCGGATATGAAGTCTGACGAATCAGTTTTCTCGCACTAGACAAAATATTCAACTAGCCAGACTTTCTTCCTCTGACTTTAACTTTTTCCTGCCGCCATCTAGTATCACACTAGTGCCACTGGGTTACACGGGCTTAACTCGTATAACCTGTGCGAGTTTTTATTGTTTGTTATTGGTGTTTGTTTTGTTTCCTTGCGGTGTTTTGTTTTGTTTTTGTTGTTTATTTATTGTTGTTGTTTTTTCACAAATGATAAGATATGAGAGCATCTTGAGAGTCCTTTTCAAAATGTTCTGTCTACCTCCAAAGTGTATCTTGTCATCACTTATTATAACTGGGAAGAAACTAATGGCTTTTTGCTGTGAAATACCAAAACACTGTGATTCTTGTTTGAATCCCAATAAATTTTATTCTTTTTCCATTTAAAATCAATATTCTTATTTGCAATAATGTACTACTTGTTTTTTCAGTCAAGACGGGTTTTCAGAGGAGGGTTGTCATGTAGATCTTTCTAGGAGCAACTCTGAAGAAACAGTTTGTGGCTGCAATCATTTGACTCATTTTGCTGTCTTAGTTGACTTCAGCGGTAGCAACAGGGTAGCTTGTTTTTCTTGATTTTCTTTCAAATAGAGATCTGTGTGGTTTATTCACTCGATTTGTCACCCTCTCTCTCTTTTTTTTTTTTTTTTTTTTTTTGACGCAGCTCACCGAAAAGGACGTAACTGTTCTGGAGGTCATCTCATACGCAGGATTAAGCCTTTCTATCACCGGAATGCTCTCGACAATTATTCTTTATTCTTTCCTCACGTAAGAACTGTAACCAAATAATCATTGAAGTAAATTCTCAAATGTCCTTGAAGACGTTTCGTATAAACGAGGTCAATGCATGCGCAGTGTTCATGCTGAAAATAGATGAAATTTTGCTAAGTACATAGAGTATGTGTCGGGCAACAGTCATCATCAGCGACCGTCTAAGTTTTTTCTCCCTTCAATCGTCCCCATGCTTGTTCTTTATTATTTCTTTAACTTCACATTTACATCAGTCAAGAGGAGGTAACGAGCATCAGTCGGATAATCATTGATTTATTTTTGCTTGGCTTTACTATTCGTGTGGGTAACGAAACTCTCTTGCTTTCTGTCATGTCATGTACCGTCCAATCTTTTAATTTTATCAGAGATGTTCGTCAACCTCTGTCTCAAATACGCTTAAGTCTCGCTGTGTCCCTGGGAGCTGGACAAATCATCTTCCTCGCTGGAATAAACGCCACGGAGAACAAGGTCAGGGGTTTCTCACCATTCACGGAATAAACTCAGACTTCAATTTCGAAAGTAACGTGAAAGGACAGAGAAAATTGCAGCTATTTTCTTCCCCTTTATTTGTTTGTTTGTTTGTTTGTTTGTTTTTTTTTTGTTGCAGGCTGTTTGTGTCACAGTAGCAGTTCTAATGCAATATTTCTTAATGGCCGCTTTCTGCTGGATGCTGGTCGAGGGAATTTATCTCTACCTGTTTGTTGTGAAAGTTTACAACATCAACACCAAGATGCACATGTATCACATCATGTCATGGGGTATTTTTCTTTTACAATTTAAATTAAAATGCATTGTTGTGAATCATTTTATTCATTCATGCATCATTTTGATTCCCCTTATTTGGTTTAAAATTTCGTGATAGGCTTTCCCGTCGTTATGATAGCCATTTCATTGAGCATCTCTGCCGGAAAAGAAGGAATACAGAGCTACACCAGTAATAAATAGTAAGAAGGCCATTTTTACTTTCACTGCTCTTCCTTTTTGTAAAAGGCTTTATTTGAGTTCTTTTCTCTTCGCTTTTTCTCCTTTTGTCAATCTCAGGCTTTCAGTTCTCGAGGCGATTTTCGCTCTATTTTCACAATTTTCCTCCCTTTTATCGTTGAGTATATTAATTTGTCCTCTTCATCCTACCTATAACCTTTATCCTTCAGGCCAGCCTTCAACGTAGAGTCTCTATCAATGTTACTTTCAGATACAAAGCTGATCGGGAATATTGTGAAAATGAGATCCAGTAGGACCTTATTTTTTTCTCTCTGTCTCTCTTTCTGTTTCCCATTTTTTTTTGTAGCTGTTGGATGTCCTCAGCTAACAGTTTGATTTGGATATTTGTCACATTTGTGATTACGATTGAATTTGTAAGTCTCTGATTTACATCACTTTGTTTTGACATTACTATTTGGGATTTTAGTTTAACGCTTGGATCACTTTCTTTTGACATTATTCTTTGGGATTTTAGTTTAACGTTTGATGTGCCCAACAGATATACCTCAATACAAAATTATATTCACATCCTTCCCCTCTAAGGTCAACATTTTGATACTCATTCGAGTCGTAAGGGAGATGACCAGAATGCAGCCAACAGGAGATAAGCAAATCCAGCAAATACGGTGAGAAAGATCTTGAAAATTATGATAAAAAGAAAGACAGTTTCTGCCAGAGATTTTTATCAGAATTTTATCAAATTTTTAAATCATCCTTTTAATGATATTTGTCTCACTTCCTCACTTGTTACTTAATGTTAGTAAAACATGATTATTTCTGATGACCAGAAATACTTTTGAGGAAGAGATGCAATTAATAAACGCTTAAGAAAACCATGTCTTATTTTTTTGCCGTCCTTTAGACTTGGCATAAGAGCATGCGCGGTGATGATTCCCCTGCTGGGTGTCACGTGGCTATTTGGTCTTTTATCGCCGTTACACAAAGTTTTCGCCTACATTTTTAACATCGTCAACTCTACTCAGGTAAGTGTTTAATCCTCTTCTTTCATGAATAAATTTATCTATATGGAGTGTCAAGACTACGTATATGGATAATGTCTTTTCATGAAGTAAGTTGATAATGTAGCTCCAGTAATTGTAAATATTACAGAAGAGTATAGAGCTAAAAAGAACATAAACATAGTTTCTGCTCCACTCTCATAATTAAAGAATTTATTTACGTCATTGCACTAGCTCTGAGATATTTGAAACAGAAAACAAAAACCAACACCTTTCACTTGCCTACATTCAATCGTATATTAAGGAAAGAAGAGATTAAGCTGGAAAATTTTTCCTCATTTAAGGGTTTCCTGATTTTTTCACTTCACTGTGTGCGAAACAGCCAGGTAAGTCTAATATAGAAAGAAAACATGTGAGTAATGAGATTTTAAAACTTGAATATATATGCGTTTGTGCGTGTTTGTTGGGATGCTTTCTTCTGTTTAATTTTGTTTCTATCTACAGATTAAAGAGCGGTTCAACAGAAAAGTCAACACTGTTTTTCCATCTGTTAACAAAGGAAACTCTACAAAGAAGGGCTCGCAGGTTAACCTTAGTGATGTTGGAGATGCGAGGGGAGTTGAACTGGTGTCTTATCATTAATATGAACTGAAAAAAACACTCAACTTGGGAAACGGGACCAGGACAGGTTTAGAATTGGATTAAATGTTTGTAGAGCGGCAGTTGTTACTGAAAATTGCGTCAGATAGTCTAATCCATATTAAGCCAGCTTTCTAGAGTCATCCGCCTTTAGCGTTGTCTAGGTTCTCAACTAGATGCTAATAGCTTCCCTTGATGGAAAATGAGTTTCTCTAGCCTATAAAAGGTGTTAACGATATACAAACTCTTTAGAAAAGGGTGTTATTGATATTTGTGTCAACGTGTCTAACCTATGTTAGACCAGCTTTCTATAGTCATCAGCCGTTAACGTTGTCTAAGCACTTAAATAGATGCAGGCAGCTTCTTTAGATGGAAAACAAGTAGTTTAATTTTAGCCCATCGTATGTGTCAACAACACACACAATTCTTCAGGAAAGTGGGTTAGTTTATCCTAATGAAATATTTTGGATTCCGGTTGTTATGATTCATTGTTACATTTAAGGGTAGTCAGTCCTCTACATAATGGTTAGTTCAATTCGTGCGATAGATATGATTGCGCTTCAAGGGAAACTACAATATAGTAAGATGTTTGTAAAAATCATATCATGCATTTGTTATACTCAGTTGCTTCTAAATAACATTAATTATTAAAAACTAAATCATTGGATAATGCAATTCAAGACTTTTTATTAGCTTAGCCATTGTGGTATATCAGCCAATATACCATAATCTACAAATATCGTAAGCGTACGTGTCAGCTTAAAATTAAAAGGGAACTAAAAATTTAATAAAATTTAATAATTTAATTCAACGTTTTTAATAAAACAATTATTCCACTCGCGCTTGTTGGATATGAGATGATTATAGCCAACTCGGCGCTACGCGCCTCGTTGGCTATCTATCATCTCATATCCAACGCGCGCTCGTGGAATAATTGTTAATTAGCAATGAGAGANTTGATTGATGAAGCTCTAAGAATTCCCGATGGGAACTTTTATTCAGTCAAGATGTGCTTACTGCACCGTCATTATTCTAAGATCATCTTTCTCTCTTTTTTTCAGAATATTGACTTTAAAATTTTCATAAGCCCTTGGGGTCGGAAACAGGTTTTTTTAATACGAAAACATTTTCTATTAGCTAATAGTTATTAACCCGTCATTTTGAAGGAAACAGCCAATCAGAAAACTATTTTGAACTACCATGTGCGTGTTTTAGCATGAAAGATTACCACTGTCACCATAATATGCATGATTCTTATCCACAAAGTATAGCAATGGTGCCTCGTCATTGTGACTGTAGCGATAAATTATTGTTATGAAGATAACAACTGAAGGAGACTAAAATTTAGAGTAGTTTTTATAAAAAAAACGGCTAATCAAACAACACATCTTAAATTCTTATCCTCACTATTCACGACAACGACATAAAGCAATGTGTATAATCGAAAACTCTTGTGCGTGAAACGATCAGTCGCGTTATGTTTCTCTACACCACCTAAAGTGTATCAATTCATGAAAGGGAAAAAGTAATCTCAGATAGATCTGTTACAAGCATTTTAGTCTAATGGCGTAATTCTCTCGAGGCAACGCATTTGGGCCCTAAAAATGAATTCACTGTTAACTGGCTAAATAAACAAAGAATGCTAGTCATTAATTAATTCTTAGATCTTTACATTTAGCCCCGGGCTACATCATCAAGAAGAAAATATAGTTTTCGCTTTGTCATCATGCATCCCACGTTATTATGTTAAAAGAGTTGGAAAATCTGTTCTGGAACAGTTTCGTACCAGTTTTATTTGTTTTACTTCAATTTTAAACGGCTACAAAAGGCATACTGCGTCTTATTTTCGCGGAGACAGCTGACGTCAGTCGTTTGTATGACAATCAATTTCCCGCACAAAATGCTTGCAATTGCAATAAACAGCTGTTTCTAACTCAAAACGACACTTGCTGTGTGACCTGCGAAAGATTTCCAAAAGATAACAATCAACGAAGCCTTCTTCAGGGATACTGGCAAGGTAAATCTGTGGCGAATCAAATGCTATAGCAAATTTGCTAAGAGGTTGCGTTTGGTTCAGCTAGTTTCAACTTGGCAACAGGTAGTGTTTTTATTTTCCTATGAGTATTTCGATATTATGCGTTAATATTCGCTACAGTAGAAGACGTAGTCTGAATTGCAGCGTTTACGCAAAACCGTATTCAATCATGAGCAAGAAGTGAACGGAAAAAAGGAACCAAAAATATCGCTGTTTCGAAGGTTTTTGTGAAGTAAATGTCTCTTTTACGAAAGCAAAAATACACTTTCGTACGAAACAGGGATAGGAACATCAATAGAGCTCTTTGTTTTCACGATGGCAACAATTTTTTCACAAAAATGCTCCAACTGCACTGTTATTATTTGAAGTTTAAGTTTTTTCCTTGTTTTCAGATTTTTCCGGAAAGTTTTAGAAACACCAACGGTAATGAAACAGGTTGTCAATTACGAAAACATATATCAACATATGTCATGTGAACTATCATGTGCGTGTTCAAGTAAAGATAAGAAACCCGCTCATTCCTAGTAAAGGAAAGCATTAGCCCGTTAGCTTTAGACGATCAAATCCAACAGAGTTTTTTGACTTACTATGCCCAATTTTTTATTGACGAAAAAATTAATGTGTATCATTTAGAGAAATTTGTGGAGTATGAAAAAAAAAAAAAACAGGCACAATCTATGGCTTTGCACCACTAAGTCGGTATATGTGCTAATATTAATAAAGAGAAAAAATCTTCATTGATAGACCCGTTTTCATTGGAGTTATTATTATCGCGAAGTGACTTCTGTTATGCTTACGCTCTGAAAAGACTTAAATCTTTGTAAACTGGCTAAATAAACAAAGGGTAGCAATGATCATTGATGAATTTTTGTTAGCATGACTACTAACGAAACTTAATATNAATTTTAGTACAATTCTCGCCTTTCAAGTCAACGCTGGTTCCTTAACATTTTCAGTGGATTCGACAATTTTTCCATTTCTTTTTATTGTGATAATTTTTCGCGTAGTAATTACTGTGTTTGTTTATATGTGTCATCACGCCCTATATAAATCTATTTAAGGAATTTGTAAGTCATTGTATTACAACTGATGAAGGTCTCGGACCGAAATGTATTTCATTAAACTTTCTTAGACTTGTTATTTGAGTATATGTCTTTCTTAGCTCGAAGTTGTCCGTCCTCGTGTACTATAACTATTATATATATATAATAATAAATGCGTTGTTCGGTTATTACGCATGCTTGCGCAGTTTCGATTCGTTTCTGTGGCGGCATGAGGACACGAGTTCATTATGCTCACTGAGTGATGATAATTCAGGTCGGCAGCGATACCATACAACAAAACGTCTAATAAGATATAGTACAATATGTTTATGTGCTCACTTAGCCGTAGCGGTGAATTCCATGAAAACTATAAGCCTCTCGTTAAAAACAGTTGCCTAAATCTTTGTATCAGCGAAGGTCTTGCTTGACTCTTCTTCTTGTCCTAGTTATTGTCATGACTGGTAATCATCATTGGTGTTACTTTATTTATTAATTTCTTTTTCAGGCCTTGGGCTGGGCGATGATGCATGCAACCAAAATATATGTACATCGGATTGTCATAAAAAACATATTAATAATGCTCCTTGCAATCCACTTCAGTGTAACAGTGGTAATAATTCTTGTTTTATGAAATGCAAGACGACAGGGTGCATACAGAATTGCAACAATGCAGTTCAATTATGCGAGATGGATCTGGAATGCAGCGAAGGGGACTGTGAACAGACTTGCAATGCTAAAACATGTAAACTGAACTGCAGTGGAGGAAAGTGCAAGAAACAGGAATGCTCTGAGGAAGTAAAAATATGTGAAATGGGTCTAGATTGCAAAGAAGGGGATTGTGAACAGACCTGCGGTGCTGAAAACTGCAATCTGACTTGCAGTGGGGGAAAGTGTAAGTTAAAAATGTGTCATTATGAAAGAGAATTATGTGCAATGGATCTGGAATGTAGCGTAAGGGATTGTGAACAAACTTGCGATGCTAAAACATGTAAACTGAACTGCATTAGGGGAAAGTGCAAAAAACAGGAATGCTCTGATCGAGTAGAAATATGTGAAATGGGTCTGGAGTGCAAAGAAGAGGATTGTGAACAAACTTGCAGGGCTGAAAAATGCAATCTGACCTGTATTGGGGGAAAGTGTAAATTGCAAGAGTGTCACGATGAAAGAGAATCGTGTGCAATGGATCTGGAATGTGGCGAAGGGGATTGTAAACAAACATGCGATGTTAAAACATGTCAACTAAACTGCAGCGGGGAAAAGTGCAAAAAACAGGAATGCTCTGATGAAGTAGAAATATGTGAAATGGATCTGGAATGTGGCGAAGAAGATCGTAAACAAACTTGCGATGCTAAAGCATGTAAACTAAACTGCAGCGGGAGAAAGTGTAAAAAACAGCATTGCAGCAATGGAGTACAAGTGTGCAGCATGCATTGTAACGCCATCGATTGTACACAAACGTGCGACAGTCCCACATGTCACATGGCAAGAAGCTGGCCTAGCAATTCTCAGGGTGGGGTCATATGTTCTGGGAATGGTGGATGCTGTGGAAGTCTCATTCCTA